CTAGCACCTCTAGTAATATATTTACTGAGAAAAATGTTGACGTGTTCAATACTTATTTTACCCGCTGTAAGTCCTTTGCGATCTTTGAAATTGCAGTGTCTTTAGTAAACCAGCGAAAATACTGACAGAGTTGATCACCTAATGGTAACAGGTGTGCTGATTGACAGAAGGCAGATTGTATGTAAGGAGCTGGAGATAAGCACCATGGAAGACAAATTATGTTGCATCATTTATGTTATCTGTAGTTTCTGACAATCGGTCACATAAGTTTTCAGATGTAAACAAATACTTTTGGATTTTCTTATCTTTTTCAGGTGATGAGCTTGTCCCCAGCTCCTCTGTCGCTGCTGATCAAAGCTGCTCCCATCCTCACAGACGACATGTATGGTGACATCCAGCCGGCGGCCTGGGAGCTCCTGCTTAGCGTGGATGAACACATGGCTGCTGCGGCAGGTGAGTGGGTTGTTTACGAAGGTTTCACCCTTCACATAATATGAAACCTAATTTTGTTTCTTTCTTCYGTTCAAGTTTTCACTATTAATTTTTTCATGTTTCTGACAAACTTGTTTTGCCTTAAACCATGCGTCCATCTTATGCCTTTCTATATTCTTTTCACCTTTCTTTGCTCTGATCTTCATGGATCCCCTCGTAGCTGCCATGTTCCTCCTGTGCGCCGTAAAGGTTCCCGACGCTGTGTCGGAAATGATGATGGCGGAGTTCCAGCATCAGGAGGCCTGCCAGCGCATCAATTCCATMCTAAAGTTCTACACGCTGTGGCGTTTCCGCTACCAGGTGTGGCCTCGCATGGAGGAGGGAGCCCAACAGATCTTTAAAGTACGTAACTTATTTGGCTCTTTACTGGTGTTATGATGATGTTTTGGACAGGTTATACAGATTACCAATTGCAAAGGTTTTAGTAAATGGTTCTGCCTCTGACATACAGTATTTCCTTTGGATAGAGTGAAGCGTCAGAAATGTCCCCACTGTCTATTATTTTCACTCACATAGGAGTTATTAGCGGAGGCTGTAAGAATCCAACCTGGGTCTCAAAGATAACCTTGGGAGATATTGAATACAGAATTTCACTCTATATGAATGACGTGTTATTTTTTGTCACTCACCCAGAAACATGTATTTCTACATTGATACCCATTATAAATAGATTTGACCTCTTCTCRAGGTATAAAAATAATTACTGTATGATAAATCAGAGGCCCTGCCACTAGCTGACCAGGGGGGCTGGGACACTACTATTGATTTCTACTTTAGGTGGTCAACCACACGTTTCATATATTTGGATAAGGGTGTCGTTAAACACAACAGAGCTGTACAGGTTGAACTTTAAAGCAGTTGTAACCTCAATCAAGAACAATCTTAATCAGTGGTTTGATCTCCCATTATCTTGCAYGGGCAGAATAAGTATAATCAAGATGAATGTCCTTCCCAACACTACTGTATCCCAGGGCYATTCARCTGGTGGGTKACTTCMATCAGGCCTGCCAGTGAGCWTACTTTATCATCTGATCAAATGACTTTATTATGCAAACTGTTACATCTGGCGAGGCGACRTRTACTATTCCAGTGGACTCACAGGCAGCTGCCTTCTGTTACACAATGGTATAGAGATGTCCTGATGCACCTCTGTAATCCAGGTAGAAAGAATCAAAAGGAAAAAAAATAAGTAGGTCCTCCGGATGGGTTCTTCTTTAGTGAAACGTTTGTCTCTCCTCCAAGAG